GCAAGTTTCATACCAGCCTCCTTTCCAATCCTTAAACCATCATAAAAATCATCCACACAACCTCAAAATCATGTTTATAAGGTGTTGCAACCATTAAACCAGCCAAAAACACCATAACTCAAAAAGTCAACTTCTCACACCATGAACATTGACTTTCCTGCATAAACCAGTAAAGCTCACTGCCTAGATTAGTTTGGATCTCTTTGACACTTTGAACACCACATATTTATGTTGTACCAATTGTCCAAGTCCTTAAATAACAGATGGAACATCACTTATTAAAATTGTCATCAAAAATCATTTGTTGCTTCAAAAGGAACTTCAAAGCTTGCTCAAAGGAGGGAGGGATATCTTGCTGCTAGCTGGCTGTGAGGAGTCTACAAGAGGTATGTGACTTCAAACTCTCTCATTGATATGCATGAGTTAAAATGTATTGAATCATTAGATCATGTTGAAATTGGTTTGTGCTTGCTGTCACAAAGTTGTGACCATCATGTGAAACATATAATGAATTGATTATTTGATGTTAAGCTTGCATCTGTTTCTATTTGAACTTGGTTTTATGCTAAGATTTGGTTGTGCTTGCTATCATGAAGTGGTAACTGTCATTTGAAGCAATATAGTGAATTGGTGTTTGATTGTTAGCATTATAATGGCCAAACTGCTACTATCATGAGATTTGTGGATTGACTTGTTATCTTTAGCTCTCCACACATGTTGGATATGTTGTGTTGCTAACCCATGAGGACAATTTGTTTAGACAGTCTAGATGAGAATAGGCTGTAGGATTTGTTTTGATTTCTATATGAGTTTTGCTTTTGTAAAAGCATGGTAGGGGGATTCATCATGTATGTTTGTTTGAACTTCAATTTGTTGGTTATAACTTTGTTGTCTAAATCATTGAAGGTTGTTTTTGCTTGGAGGTTGTCATTATATTTCTGTTGGGAACATTTGATGTTAAGGTAGATCAATTAAGGTCTAGTGTTGTATCTTGAGTGTTGCCATTTGAGAGCTTAACCTTGAATCTGTTCATAGGACTGTCATAAAGATTTTGACTGTTGGACCTTTGAGAACAGTTCTGGCTGTTGTGACTGTTTGGTTTGAACTGGCTTCGAGTAGCACATAAGAACTATCAAGAGCATCAAGGCTTAAGGCTATTGTTGTGTTAGTATGGAGGTGGTTACCTCAGTTCTGATAGAGTTTTGAGTGTAGTTGGTCCAGACAGAGTTGAGAGGTGCTTACATCTATCATTGGATTGAGAGTTTTCATCTAACAGTTTTGAATTTGTGTGTGTGTTTTAGCATGATAGTTATACCCGCTGGTGTGCAGCATATTTTGGTTAGAATATGTGGATGCAGTTGAGGCATTTGGTTTTAGTTTACCAATTCCTGTAAGATGTATCCATTGTTAATTTAGCTGGCAGCCTTGTCAATGTATTTGGGTATGACTTCTATGGAAAGGATTCACATGGTTAATCAGCTTTGGCATGTCTGTTCTTTTTAGTGTTAAAGGTTTTTGGTTACAAAACTGTTGGTTATTGTTGAGAATGTGGTACTGTTTAGTTCTAAATTTGTTTCCTTGCATATCATGTTATAACTTCATACATGCTCAGGCTGTTTAGATTTGGTTGTTGCAAGACCATTTAATGGATATAGAAGTTTGAGTTTGTCAACTAAGGGGTTTGTAGGGATGTTTGGTTTATGCTATGATTTCCCTGTGAGAAGTTTTTGTTTGGAACAATGGTTGTAAACCAAGTTTGTGGTCTTGAGATGTATGGACTGATTAGTGCAGTTGGTATGCTGCAAGTAAGGAGGTACTGTGAATGCCTCAAACTGGTTAAGCTATGTTGATAGGTTATCATTAGGGGCATGTTGGTATTCTAGGTGATATGTTTGAGTTTGGATTGTTAGGACTCAATATGTAGTCCCTACTGTTGTGCCAGTTCTGTTGGAATTCATAGCATATTGGTTAAATTTTGGTCTGAAAAGCATTCTACATAGGTGCGCACCTTGCTGTCAAGATTTCACTTTTATAGGACATAATGCCTTAAATCCATCTATGACTGCTCTTAGAGACTAAGTTTGTTAGCTCATGTTTGTCTACAAGAGTTTCATTTCACAGGATGAAGGTTTTGTTTACTGTTGTGATTGCCATCCAAGGGGATTCGGGGAGAAATGAGTTTGGCCATTGGTCCATATTTTCGGGGCGAGATAATCGTTTCCTAAAGAATATGTAACTTTCATAACTATCCGTTGGGACGAACAGACGTGCCCATAACTAGCCGTTGGCGCAGGCAGAGGCATAATTACGGGCACAAGCGTCTAGACTGTTTCGAGATGGTGGAACCGTGCGTGACGGGCAGAGCCTGACGGGGAGAAGTGTTGTAATCAAGGATAAACATGTCAGTCTCCCATATTGGAGGGGCAGAAAGGTAAACTTTCCACCTAAGAGGTTGGACTTAGGCAATTGGATCGTTCTGAGAGGAAAAGTGGATTGGGTCATGCCTAACCTTTGGGGCAGTCCGGAACAATTTTCAAGTTTCATTTAAATTTCTTTATAAATTTTAATATTATTTATAATTAAATATTTAAAAATTCATCATACGACCATATCATTTATTATCAAATTATTATAATTAAACAAATTCATTATTATTTGTGGAAGTGTATTTTCAACCACTATTTTTATACAACACTCTCTAACTCAATACATTGATTTGATTTGATTGCATTGATACCAATATAAAATTCACATTTCCTTCCTCAATATGTTTTTACGTATCTATCTCCCGTTTAACTCTTTAATATTGAACGTTCACCTCTTTACCTTCCACACGTAAGCCACTGCACCACATCACCGCCACTTCAGTGATAACTATAACCACCGCTCTTCCCTTCAAGTCTAACACAATGACTATCTCTCTCCCTCTCTCAAAAGGAGAAAAACAAAAACAAAAATTAATTGCTTAATTTTTTTTATTAAGAATCAATTTTTATTAGTTTTGTATCTCTAAAAAGTCAAGAACAGTCCTACATAGATCCTAATCATTTCTTAAGTTTATTTCATAAATATCCAAAATATAAAAAACATTAAACACCAAAAAAAACTGCATAATATTAAATTTTCTATTGCATAGAGGACAAATCATAAATTACATTGTTCAAGTAGTTCTGTTCTAAATTGTTCATCTACAGTCTTATGTCTAAATTCTAACTACTCATAATAAATGTGTTCAATGTTCAAGAGTTATTCTATTAGAGATGTATTTCAGGTTTATACACCCAATAATATAGATGAAGTAAAAGGTTTATTATTCTATTAAAGTCATGTCTTTCAATTTTCTTTTGACAGAATAGCAAATTGCTTGTTCCAAGTTCAAAAACCTGCTAGAGACCTTTTTATTTTGGCTTTAAAAAAATGAATTTTTTATTTTTATTTTTAAAAATAAATTTTACAAAATTGTTTTTAAAAATATTATAAGTTTTTTTATATTCGTATTTCTAAAATTAAAAGATTAATTTTGACGTTCTATAATATAAATATATATTATTGAGAATCAAAACATAATCGAAAATACAATTTTTTAAATAAGAGAAAAAATCAAAATCAAGCTGCATTGCGGGCCCTTTTTTCAACGGGAAAATCAATACTCTTAAAAAAAAATACATTCATTGTCATATGTTATTTCTCTATAACAGATCCACTACTTCTCGTATTAAAAAACTAAAAGTATAAGACAAATGTTATTTTAACCCACTACTTCTGGTATTAAAAAACTAAAAGTATAAGACAAATGTTAATGTTATTTTAACATGTTGATTTTCTGAACATATTTTCTCATATTTAATCATTTTACATAAAGCAGCATTCTCATATTTAATCATTTTACATAAAGCAGCATTGACAGTTATTTGTCGGAACTTGTTTTCTCTTTAACATTTCTCATTTCTCATACTTGACCATCTTTAAATAAAAAAAATTTATAATTTTTTCTTAAACAAAAAATAAATTATACTATAAAAATATTTAAAAAAATCAAAACAAACAGACCCAATGGGAGGAATGTGTCACTTGTGACATCGATGATGGGTAGGTTTTCTGAATTTTTTTCCACTCTGTCATTGTTTTACAAATTAATTTCTAAAATGCCATTCTTTTCTATTAAATTTTTAAATTGTCATATTTTCAAACAAAAAAAAGTTTTTGGATGTACACTGCCGCCCAAAAAAACAAATTTGTTTTATTTTTTAATAAATATTATTGTTGGGGGAACGAGAAAAGTGGTCAACCAAAATATATTAATGCCGCCCATTGAATAGACGGTTGTCAGTTGCATTAATACATTGTCGCCCATTATAAATGCGGTAGTAAGTAACATTAAACATTGCCGCCCATTGTTAATATATATATATATATATATATATATATATATATATATATATATATCAATAATATTTAATAAGAATTAAAAAATAAAACAAAAAAAGAATTCTGAAATTTGCCTCTTCTGCCCATTGAATGGGCAGCAGTGTACATCCAAAAACTTTTTTTTTTTTTTTGAAAGTATGACAATTTGGAAAATTAATGGAAAAGAATGACATTTTAGAAATTAATTTGTAAAACAATGGCAGGGTGGAAAAAAATTCAGGTTTTCTCATAAGGTGTATATACTTTGTCTAAGTCACTCATAATAACAAAGATGTTTGTCTAATAGCTGTGTCACATATTGAAACACATTCATCCCTTTTCACCTTGTTTGCTTGACATTATAACAGAAGAGTGGAATGGATCAGCTTATAGCATAATACTTTTCTACTACTAAGATAAAAATGGATATACAAAAACTACTTAATCCCAAACTAGAAGTTAACTGCAATAATACTAGTATAGGAGGCAAATATTTCAATCAATCTTCCTTTTTCCCAATTTCTTGGGATGGATGAAACCAATAATAATAAGAACATGGTTAGTAAATGCAAAGTCAGTAGATTGAAGATTATTCATCCTACAAAGTCATGCAAAAGTTGCCCTGTAATAAAATCCCTCCCAAACTGTCTATTCTGCAACTGAAAGCCACTCGCAACGTAGCTTTCGGGTTGAACTGCAAGACCAAAACGTTGAGCAGCACTCATGTCGAAGGGCTCGGACAACCCAATTCCATGGTTTTGGTGTAGGCCAAGTGTGAGAGAGACACCATTGCTTGTTGCACCGTTATTCATCAAGCTCACTCCAACACTACCGACTTGTTGATTGCTTGCAATACTCTGATTCATCACCAGCATATTGTCAAGCTCGTCTCTAGTTCGTTTATAAGACACGTCGTGGCAATTTTTTGTGGAGGTAGATTGATGCTCGGCAATGTTGCTACCGCTCAAATTTTTCCTGCTATGTTCTTCTCTTTGTGATGGTTCCTTTTGAGATTGTTGTGATTCCAGCATGTGTATTTCCTCCACCATTGGTTTCCAAAGCCTTACTCTTGCATTTATAAACCAATTAGAGACCTGTAACGCATAGAAATTGCTAATTATAACAATTAGAAGAATACATCAATCAAGCATGAAGTTATGCAGATAATGGAAATTTTATCTCGAATTGTTAACCTGGTTGCGAGATAGACCAGTTTGTTTAGCCAACATTAGCTTGTCGGTATCAGTAGGATAACTAAAACAATAAAACAACAACATATCAGAGAAATGTTCAGGTGTTCGACACCGAAATTCAATCACATGTGTTATAAAATTATTATCAATGTCATGTCTGGTGTACGTGTGTGAGCGCGTGTCCCTTAAGATTGTGATATGATTGAAATAACACGCTTACGGGTGGAGAAAGTGTTCAAACAACCATGCCCTGAGAACACTCACAGCGCGCTCAGGGAGTCCTCTCTGTGGCCGCCAAACGGGTTGTTGGACGTGTTCGAGAAACTCCGGCCTTCGACTGTAAGGGCTTCTGCCGCTGTTGTAAAACCTTGGAGATTCGTCTTTTGAATTGTTTATCCGAAAATTCGACTCACCGATATACTGAAGCTGGTTAGTAATCACATTCTTCAAGCCTCTAAAATGTTTGGACATGGCATTTATAGCCAAACTTGCGTATGGAGCAGCATTGCCGAGGCCAGCAACATATTCAAATGAAGTTATTACTGCATGAATCTGTTGATAGTACTGTCTGTATCTCCTGCAAATCTGTTCATGATTGAAAATGAAGAATTATCTCACAATTTGAATATGTTATCAAACAACTTGGTGGTAGCTATGAAATTTCTGAAGTTTACTTATGGTAAAAAAAACACATTAAACTAAACATATAATGCCATTTATGAAAACTCATTTCAAGAAATTTTCATTTTCCAATAACACAGGTAAAAACAGAAAAAACCTTATACCTCATCTAGCACGTTGATTAGTCTAGACTTGTTCTTCCTACCCTCAATATCATCATCATCAACAATTCCATTCCTCTCCTGAATAGGATTTTCCATCAACGAAGAATCAGCAGCAGGAACAATCTTCTCAACACGAGCTCCAACATCACATATCTCATCCAATAATTGCTGTGCAGGTTTCAAAAACCTCGATCCCTTCAAAACCGATGCATAACCAGTAAACGGTCCCAACGGAACCGTGTTCCTAACTTCACCACTACCATTAAAAACAACAGACCCATATCTCTGAAGATTAGCCTCTAAAGGATGATGAACATTCATGTGAGCCTGGTTATTCTGCTGCGATGATAAAGATAAAGATAGAGGTTCAGATTTCAGCAACATGACTTCACTGTTAGTGTTGCCACCATCGTTGTATGTTGGATAAAGAAAAGGGTTAGTGCTGATGGTGATAGCCTCAATTGTTTGGTTGGTGGAAGGTGAGAAATCTGATGAAATGAATGAAGGGTCGTAGAGAGAAGGTAAAGGTGTAGAACTAGGGTTAAGGGTAGTTGGAGATTCAATGAAAGATGCTTGGTTTTGAGATAAGAATCGGAGTTTTTCTCTTCTGCTTTGTTGTGGGATATGATAGTGTTCAAAACCTTCAGCCATGGTAGAAAAAATGGCACTGGAAAAAGAAGAGGGTTTGGTTTTGAAGAAGAGAGAGAAAAGAAAGTGATGGAAGTGATGGTGATGGTGAAACGAAAAGATATAGTAATAATGATGATGATGATACGTGAATTGAAATTGTGTAGTTTCCAACACACACGCATAGATGAATGAATGAGAGTGAAACTGCACACAAACTCACACACTCACTCTCACAAGTAAAAGCAAAAAACAAAATTTAGTTTGTTGAATTTCTTTAGTTTTCTCTGTCCTATGTTATGAGGTTTGTCTTTGTTGGAAGGTGTGTTGATGTTGGTGATGATGATGATACGTTGGGTTACGAGATGAACCGGCTATTTCCGGTAATAATTGAACTATGCTGCTTCTGTGTGTGTTGCAGATATTTCTGACAAACTGGGTTTCTGAGTTTTGTCGTCTTCTCAACCCATTGTGTCTTGTGAGCTATCAATTGTTTTTTTTAAGATTGAATATGAATTGGTCTTCAATTGGATGGAGAAATGTTAAGAAATTAAAAAGGTCATAGGCACATATTAAGAAATTTTAAAATTGAGAATTTTTTTTTTAGAAAAGAATATTTTGTTATAATATGTGATAATTAATTTTTTTTTAATTATGTTATACTCCCTCCGATTTTTTTATAAAGAATATTCATATTTTTAGATTTATTAAATAATTAATGTATTTGGAATTTTTATAAATTAGATATATTAAATATTTAATGAATTTAAAAAGGTGAAATGTGTAACATCCTAATTTTTCCATACACTAAATAATATATCTAGTTAGATTTGAGATTTTAACAATGCTAGTTATTAAAAATTAAATGTTGAAACTAACACTTATAATAATTAATTTATTAATTAATTACTTTTTATATTTATTACTTTTATTCTTCAATTTGAATATCATCGTTTCATTTTATAAACTAAACTTTGAAATTTAAATTGGTACTTAAAACCCTTAACTTTAAGTTAATTAATTATTCATATTATTATTATCATTATTGTTGTTCTTGTTTTGTTATTATTAATTGATTTTATTTTATTTGAATATTATCATTTTACTCTATAAACCAATTAATAAATAAAATAATCTTAAGACAATAAAAATATCAAATAACTATCCTTTTTACTATTTTTATTATTATTAATATTATTAACATTTTACTTTTTATAAAAGAAATATATATCTCATTTTCTATTAATATCCTACATAATATTATGTCATGAAATCAAGCTCCCATACCTTTGTCATAAATTATTTTCACAAAGTCATACTAGAACACCTAAAGCACTATTGATGAAAGATTAGTAAATATTTGATAGAGACATATTTACTAGCAAGAGTTGAAAAGTTGGAAGGTATGGGCAAAAGATGATAAATTATGTTATTTTAATATTTTACAACTAGTATAAATAGGGGTCTCTTCCACCCCATTTTCATTCATTCATTCACAAATCATCTTTCTTACTTCTTTACTTCTTTCCTTCTCTAATTTCTTCATATAGCAATATTAGTTTTAGTTATCGAAGTTCCCACGATATCGGTTCGTAACCTTTAGAGTATTTTGTGGTAAAAGTTCTTCTAAAGTTTCAAGGGAGTTTTATACGTCAAAGTTCTGCCCAAATCATTTTCATAAGTAATCGGTAAGCCGTTATAATGTCCATTTTATTTTAATTATATTATTTTAATTATGTTATTTATATAAAGGTTATTTTAAATTTTCTATGCAAATTCCGTTCAGACGTCGATATATTGAACTTATAAAGTCCAAAATAAATTTTACCATTTTAAGTCGTTATAATGCCCAAATTTTATTATAATTTAAATGTTATTAGAAATATACTCTTGACAATTTTCTAAAACAAACAAATTCAAAAGGAGGTATAATATAATTTATATTTGAATTTAATAATTATTTTGGAGGTTATTATGATATATTTAAATAAATAAATATTTCAAGTTATAACGGGATTATGTTCAATTAACCATAAATTATATTCTAATTATTTCATAAATTTCGTACAATCCAACGGTTATCGTAAATTAGGTTCTTGGCAAAGATCGAAGACAACACTTGTGGACTTTCAACAACACTCAACAAAAGGTGGGGGCAAGATTTCGTATACGATTGGGACGGTTAGCGTAAAATAACTTAATATATATGTGTGTAGTGGTGACCTAAGCCCTACTAGCGATAAATAATTAAGGAGAGCCTATTCTCAAATAATGATTTTCACAAATCACTAGGCGAGGTTACGCCGGCCTTAATTAATTATCATAGGAATAATCTTTGACAATTTGGTATTGTATTGTGCTTGCATTATTCGGTTAATTTTATAATTGTTTATTTTATTTATACTTGAATGATTGTGATTGATAGATTAAGGAAATAATCGGTTAATGAGAGAAAAACATTGCTAGATATTAAGTAATTGATCCCCATTAACATAAGGAAAGTTGGATACAATGAGTAGTTATATTTGGTTGGGTTCTGGCTAAGGAAAGACTTGGTCGACTATGCCGTTTACAGTCCACCTCTCTTACCTGGGAAGTTAACCATACAATTACCCATTATACAAACTGAACTTATTATGTAAGGACAAAGATCAAATATGGCAAGACATTGGATGGATTTGGTACTCAACCTAAGTATCTAGATAATAAGTATAACTTGAAAAGTTGATACGATAATTCCCCATTATTAACTTAATACTTATGGCTAAGAGTTGCCACAAGATGAGTGAGTGATCATATAGACTTGCATTAAGGAATGTGTAAGTCCACCGCCGTGCGGTATGGGACGCACGAGGTTGATCAGTCGCCTGCAATCCCGACGGGGATTATTATCTATGCATGCTAGGCAAGACAAGGTTCTTGGCCTGAATTCTCAGGGACGATCGACTTATAACACCTAGGCTCCATGTGAAGTTAGGTGGCGTAGCTCTTGGTAATTGGGAGTACGTTGGTGGCATGTGGTCTAGTGATATCTGATCTTGGTAAATGGGATAGATATCATTGACAGCGTTTAGTGGCCTGAGTCAGCATATAGTTCAGGGATGCATTAGAATAAATAAAGTATATGTAATTGTGGGTATAAGATACGCTTGTTTGTATAAATATGGTTTCCATATATATTATTATTTTACACATTCATTCCCACTTTTAAACTTGTACATGAATCTTAGCCCTGTGTCATTTTTGTTTTGCATTTTGGATTATTTTATGACGATCAGACGATGAGCTCGAATCTTGCGTACTTCCCGACAACTCAGAAGGAAAGGATATGAAGTGACGTGGAGATGTGTTACTATAACATCTAGATTGGGAGCTGTTAGTGTTTTGTCAAACGCTAATCACATCCCTACTACTACAGTCAGTATAAGTGTCAGTCTTGTTGGACTTAGGAGGTCCCTTTTGGTATGCTTTCTTTTTGGTTTCCTTTCTGTACTTTTATTTTATGTTTTATCTATGTGGCAAGGCCGCTAGTCTTAACGGTGTCAAACTCTGTAAAATATATTTGAAGCATATGTATGTGAAACAGTATGTTTTTAAATAATTAAGTATTGTCCTTTAAAAATTTCAAATTTTTCTGTATTTTTATAAGGTTTCATTAGAATTCCACTAATGGGACATAGGCTGTCTCATTTAATGGTATCAGAGCTGGTCGATTCAGCTCGGACCGTAAGTGTCTAGAATTATACTGACTGTATCAAGTTGGATTCCAAACTGGATGATAACTTTTCTTCTGTGCATTGAGTCTTCATCTTGAGAGCCTTCTAGTATAATGGTCTAGGAAACTTATTTAGCACACTTTATTTTTCCTCCCCAACGGTCACAAACCCAACGGTAACGTAACGGACACTTCACAAAATTCACTTTATAAATACTTCACACCCATCCATTATTTTCATATCAATTCCTAAATATTTATCTATACCTTTCAAATGGCTAAATCCTTTCTTTTATTCATCACTCTTCTTGTCATTATTTTGTTTGTTATTGGTATCATCAAGCATGAAGAATTAGGTAAAGATTTCGTAGCAATAATGATAATTATAGTTTTACCACTATTAGTCTTAGCTTGGTTTACAAGTAGAGGTTTTTGAATGAGACATGGTCACGATTTTTGTAATCGTTGTTATTAAATAAATTGATACATTTTTGTTTATACATTAAATGTTGATTATGTTTTCCTGAATTCTAGTTATATTTAAGATATTAATTCAACATTTTAGACACAATTATCCCTTGCCTGTGGGAGACTTGATAAAAATCCTTATCGATGAATCATTCATTGGGATATAAATATACATAATTGTTATGTTCTTTATGTCTTGTGAATGATTGAACCTAATAACTATTCCTTTTCAGGAAGTTATGGTTCAGAACGTCAGAGGTGCGAGGCGTGGTAGGAGTGCTGCTAGAGGCACTACTAGAGGTATACGTAGGAATGCGAGTGATGAAGTTACTCCTGAAGGAGCACCTACCATTCCCATTGGACGAGAAGATCATTCCCAAACTGGAACGAACTCTCAAGCTGACACTCGAGATGTTCGTGAACTTGCTGCAGCTGTGTTAGTTCAAACACAACAAAATGCTCAAATCCTGCAAATCACTCGAGATCATCAACTCTTTCAGCAACAACAAAGGGAAATGGTGCATGAGGATACAGGATTGAACTCGTTTCTGAAAGGAAAACCACCACAGTTTGGTGGTGACTTTAATCCGGAGGGTGCTGAGAAATGGTTGCAAGAAATGGAGAAGATATTTTCTTTCACTCACTGTAGAGAGAATAGAAGGGTTGGTTATGCAACATTCATGCTGACAGGCGATGCTGAAGCTTGGTGGAGAGGAAAGTATAGATTATTGGAAGAGGAAGGAAGAGAAATCAATTGGACCTTGTTCAAAGAAGAATTTTTGGGGAAGTATTTTCCAAAGTTATGTAGGAAAGAGAAGGAGAGAGAATTTCAGAATCTACG